TCTCAATACAAGAAAAGTTAGAAACAGTTTTGAAACTATTCCCTTTTCACATGGGTGTTGTAATAAACAAAAGGGTTGTGTTGTTGAATGTTGAAAGCATTTAACCGGTTCCTGACCATGTCAATCAGCCAATCCCTCCTTTCTCAAACTCAAAACACATCATTGATCTCTTGTTTCCTTAGTGACAGCCCTACTCATAATCTGTGTATTATGTACAAAAACATCAACAGGACAATTCGTATGTAAAGTATTGTGTTATCATATTTATGATAAGACAGCAATTTATACAAGTGTTATAAAGACAAATTGCATTCACCTCTCTCAGAGATATCACTCTAGAATCTAGAAGGGGTTGAAATTGCTGGTTATGGATATTCGATATTCAATAAGAAAAGGATATGGATTGTTGACTGTCACCAGAAGCCAAATAACGTATGGTGAGTGCAAGACGTTCTGATGGTGAGATAGGCTATCTGAATTTTATAACTTGCTTTTTAATATGTGGGCCAACCTTGGAAAGGAGGTAATCAAAACACTCTAGTGACATTCTCATGTAACTAAAATGAGACCAATAATCATTCAATGAACCAATGACGGAACTTTATATTTGAACAATAATATCTCGAGCGTGCCCTTTTAACATCAAGTTGAACTAAAGTTGGAATTAAAAATTTACTGTAGCATATACAAAGTAACACAGTACTGATGCAAAAAATACATTTATCAAGTTTATATTTTCATGCTATTTTCAGGGCTTTTTTTAAATAAAGTAACATGCAAAAGCTTGCCTGCAAAATAACAAAACGCTATTGACAATAATGTTCGGAGTGTAAGCCTTTTACACTAGTTTTTCGGCAGACTTTTTAAATTCGCTTACCGAAAGTATAGCTCTCTGTCACTACTACGAAGTTCCAAAACCAAGTAATTGAACTCCCCTTGAGCTTTCTTGCGACGATATATCTCCCTTACTCAAAACCTTCTAGATCTGATGGATGTTCTGGCATTACGTCGCCTTAGTAAGCGAAAAAAGGTAAATTACAAGCAACGCAAAGAGAAAGATTTCATCTTTATCTGCGATCTTGATTGTAGTCGAGGAGGACTAGTATCGAAAAATTTGTTGATACTGCGCCTGCGTATGCTCTTATGCTTATGTTCTGTGTTCTCACCTGCTTATGCTTGTCCTTGTGCTTATTCTTGTGCTTGTGCTTATGCGCTAGTGAAAACCAGCATTGAGCATGAACGTGGTACATAGAACACATCGACGCTTTGGAGATGCAGCATGATCTGTTTTTTAAAGTCTCGTTTGAATTGCGGATAAGCGCGAATTTCTCCTTCAAATCGCGGCAATTCTCTTTTTCTAACCGAGGGTTGGAGGACGGGCAACACTCTCTCTTCGCTACTTTATCATCCTTTGGACCGATTAGCGACGTGAGCTTTTCAGTTATATCATCGAGCCGGCATTGTATCTGTGATGCAAATTTTAGAGCGTTTTCTGAAGTGTCATGGTCTGCTAAATCTAAAACGTCATCGTTTGCAATTTTACACTCGGCATACGCATCTTCTATCTGTCTTAAAAATCTTTCTAAAGTATGCGCGGCAATGTTATTATCAAGAAAATGCTTTGTATTATTACAGATAGTGCCCAAAACTGTTTGCGCGTTCGCGCACATTATAAGTGCCTTTTTTTCCTCTCTCTTACCGCGCGCTCCTTCATTTCTCTTTCATGACGTAATGTGTTCTCTCGCACGACAATTTCTGACCTAACTGATCTCTGTATATACTGCATTTTAAGCGCTGTCGCTTCTGCAAACAGGTCCTGCAACTCGGTAATCCACCTCTCCGCGACTTTCAGTTCTTCATCCGTTAAATACATCGTGTATAGATCCTGTTTACTCTCAACGATATCTTATGCTTCTGAAAGCTTCACGTAATTACCTTGGACCATTTCTCGTCCTTGGTCGGCATTCATAGGCTTCAGTAGTTCATTGCGCATCCTGTTAATATTGCTTTGGCTGTTCGTCAAATGTTTTTGGCTTCTTCTGCCATCTCAGTGTTATCCGTCACGGTCCTTGGAGTTACCGATTGGGACTCGAATGTTTCGTCACTTGTGGGCTTTTGGTTCACTGTTATCAAACATCTTTATTTCCGACTACAGTGTCAGACAATCAAAGAAGTGCGTTCGAATCCTAATAGGAAGTCACATTGTTATGAAATCCTCAGATAATAAAGTATACGAAACGATTTGATATTTATCCAGTGAGTCGGCTAGGTCCACAGCTGAAAAATGACTTACATTAGTATTATGACATCATTATAACGTATCTTATTAGCGGATAAATTAACTTAATGATCAATAACACAATTTCTCGACGAAACAGTCTTCAGGTTTTAAAATACATTCACTTCTGTCGCATCGTGTTCAATGGACAAAGCCATTTGAAAAGCCCTTCAATCGTCTAATTCCGAACGAGCTAACTGTATGTAAAACCAAACAAGCAAAGGAAACACATCCATTATGTATTACAATCACAAAATAATAATAATAATAATAAATAAACCGGTGTTAAAAACACTACTGACCATAAACAAGAACTGTAAACAATATTCCATGTCGTCTAAGATATTTACCCTCGACATCCAACCAATTGTTTTATGTTCCGTTATTTTTCCGCCACATTCCGTCGTTGTCTTCTTAGCTCGAATGTCGTGCAAAAATTGGATACTGGATATAAAGATTTTCACGGAGTCATTCGAGAGCGAAACAAATCTCCTGATAGTAATTCAATGAGACGAGATAAGAGAGATCGCGGCTTTCCTGGCCTTTCCTGAGAGTAAGGGTTAATGATTACTATTTTTGCTATGTTTGTATATCCATTCCTTGAACTTTTTGCTTATTTCAAATAAGCCTTTGGTTGTATTTGCATAGAATGCATTTACTTTCGAGCGGCTGAATAATATCGATCGAGATAGCTTGGAAGTTACGAGAACAATAACAAACAGGTAGCTGCATTTGACATAAGATTCGTTCCATTTTGTTATTTATAACAGTAACAAGGGCCTTGCAACCCGATTCCCTTTTTTTGGACAACTTTTCATGTTTCTAAAGTATTAAAAAGTCTGATCGTAACGCCCTTCGCTATTCACTATTCGCAAAAGAACTTTCTATGTAGTCTCCAAGTAGACGAGATTTCAACCAACAATGGTTTCCTGCCATTTTTTTCTGGGAATAAAGGTTGATGATAAATAGGCTAAGATGATTAAAAACAGTTGACTATTTGTTGATTTGTTGTTTTCTTTCTTTCATTTCACCTCATGCTCAACAGACGGTAAGTACCTATCCATTGTGATGCGTATGTTTACCTATTCCTTAATTAAATTGTTTGAAATCAAAGTACTCGTATTTCAAATAAGTCTTTGGTTCTATTTGAATAGAATGCATTTACTTTCGAGCGGCTGAATAATATCGATCGAGATAACTTCGAAGTTACGAGAACAATAACAAACAGGTAGCTACATTTGACATAGGATTTGTTCCATTTTGTTATTGATAAAAGAAAAAAGGGCCCTTCAACCCGATTCCCTTTATATCGACGACTTTTTACATTTCTAAAGTATTAAAAAGTCTGATCGTAACGCCCTTCGCTATTCACTATTCGCAAAATAACTTTCTACGTTGTCTCCGAATAGACGGGATTTCAACCAACAATAGTTTCCTGCCATTTTTTCTGGGAATAAAGGTCAATGATAAGTATGCTAAAATGATTAACAACAGCTGACCATTTGTTGTTTTCTTTCTTTCATTTCACCTTATCCTTAACAGACCGTAAGTACCTATTTATTGTGCTGAGTATGTTCACCTATTCCTTAAATTAATTGTTTA